ACTGGCTGCTCACTGCTCCCTCCCTGGGTGTGTCCCTTCTGGGGGCTGCTCACTGAGGGAGCCTTGCAGCCCCTGCCCCCAGTGCTCTGCACAGCCACACGTGGAAAAGGCAAAGAGAAAGTCAGGAAATTCAGTATATTGTAAATAATCTAGTCCATCCAGCGTGGTGGTGGGGTCAGCACCCCTGAGGTGCTCAGAAAAGGAGTGGAGGTGACATCTCCCAGTGTGGGGCACCTGCTCAGGGCTGGACCTGAGGCTCTGCAGAGCTCTGTGGTGCAGTGACAGCAGGACCAGGCAGCAGAGCTGAGCTTTGACAATTCCTGCCAGCAGCACACGTGTCCATGTTCTCAGCTGGGTGTCCCCACCCCAGGGCTGCTCACTGCTCCCTCCCTGGGTGTGTTTAACAAAGCCTGGATGTGGCACTGGGTCTAGCTGAGGTGTTGGGGCTGGGTTGGACTCGATGATCTTGAAGGTCTCTTCCAGCCCAGTGATTCTGTGATTCTGTGAATCCTGTGGCTCCTGGATGAGACCCAGGGCAGGAGAGCATTCATTGTTTTCCTGGAGCCATCAATACCTCACACCTGTAACTACAAATCCTGGGGCTGCCCCTGAAGCACCATCAGCACTTGGAGCCATAAATCTCCAGATTCCAGCAGCTTTTTGACCAAAGCTGCTGTGACACAACCAAACCAGGTCAGGCAGGAGGAGCTGCTGGCTGTGGGGTTCACACCAGTGAAACAACAGGCTCCAGACCTCAATGAACCTCAAAAAAGCTCATGTTCTGTCAGTGGGAAATAAATCATTGCTGAAGATGCTAAAAAGCTGGATCCCACCGTGGGATACCCCAGGAGCAGGTCATCAGTCTGCTGTTTCACAGCAGACCTTCTCCAAAGATCTCACTTGGATTTCCCAAAGGACTCTGAAAGCATCAGCTTTCTTCCATTTTTTGTGGCCTCAAAGGTTTTCTGGACCCTCAGCAAACTCTGACCAGTATCTGGATAATTCCTGGCTACATCTCCACAGCAAAGCCCATCCAGGCATGGAATGCAGGCACAGATCTCCTCCTAACACAGCTCAGCACCAGGAAATCCCAGCAGCTCTGCAGGAGCTCACTCTGCTGGACATCAGGATCTCTGTGATGACCATTTTAAGTGCCATTTTCTGTCTGCCTCTTCTGGCAGAGCTAATTCAGACATGATCCATTACCCTGTAATCACAAATTTATCTCCTGCACAGAGGTAGGCAGAGCCTGGCAAGCAAAGCCTGGCTGTGAAACCAGTCCCAGCTAGTGCTGAGACAGGGGGGATCTTTGGTGTATCAGCATTTTAAATGTTAAGGTGACAAAAATACAACAACAGACGTATTGCAGACCCCAGTTATTGCAGCAGCATTTCTCCCAGGGATTAAGGGAGGCTATTTCTTGCAGGATATTACTGGATAAAGCAGGAGCCTGGAGCCAGTTTGAGACCGGGCCATATTTTAGACAAATTTCATTTCAAAGAGGCCATCAGCTCTCTGCCTGGATAATCATATCTGGGAATTATCCAGGAGAGAAATCTGCCCCAAAACATTCCCATATTCTGTCTCCAGTCCCCACTGAATGTATTTGGTCACCTCTGGGCTCACAGGGCTGGAGCAGCTCTGGTGGGCAGGGAATTCCTCCTGGGGTTGCCACAGTCACCATGCACCAAGAGTAAACCCAAAAGTAGGGAATAAGCTGCTTTACTTCACTCCCACCCTTCTATCCTAAAGTATCTCTTAAAAACTAATGTACCTCTGTATGCTATAATTTCCAAATTTCCTCTAATCCCATGCATAATTACATGGAGCACTGCACTGCATCCCTTCCATGCAAACATTGCTACCAAGTGCAGGGTTTTCAGAGCATGATGTGACAAAGAAATAACTGCAGTCATTCTTTCTCCTCTGTGTGTGGGTACACAACAGGACAGCACGTGTCATTAGCTTCCTGTTGGGGACACTGCCCATTTATCTTCCTGCTGATCCTCCCCCAGTGCCTGCTAGCAATGTTATTTCAGTGGTTTAACACCAAAATGTTATTTCAGTGGTTTTGCTTGTTTTTTATTTAACATGGCTGGGAGGTTCCTGAGTGTCTCAGGGCTGTGTTCTTCCCCCTGGCTCCCTCAAACCCTCGGGGCCTCAGCAGCAGAATCCACATTTCAGATGCCTTTAACAAAGGTGTCTCCAGAGCCCTGCTCTGATCTCTTTTTCATGTTCCTTCCACTCAGCAGTGCTCAGAGCTGAGGGGCAGACCCCTGGGATTGCCTGGCTGGGCATAAAGGGGCATCCCCTGCTCCAGGGCTGTCTCCAAAAGGGACGTGAGGGGTGCACCAAGGTTGTGGGAACCTCAGATAAAATCCTCTCCAAGCTCCTCCTGCCAGTGTTTGCCATCAGCTGAAATGCAGAGATGTGATGCTCAATGCCCTGCCCAGATTTTAGCACCATCCCTATTTTTTTTTTTTAAGATAAAACAAGCACCAGAACTACCTAACAGAACCTGCTGGCCAGCAGGAGCCAAACCCCAGAGCAAACCCTTCATTTCTACTGCAGATCAGCAGCAGATCCACCCCCAGGCAGCACCTCTGGCTCAGAGCACCAAAGCAAGAAAAAAAATGTGCTGTGAGATATGGAGCTGTGAGGAGTGTCCAACATCCCTGTGACCCCATTTACTCCTGGCTCATTGGTAACCCCTGAACTGGTTCATACTGGGGAGCCTGGGGAAAGACTTCCTAAAGAACCAAAATTCTCCTGGTGTAGGTCCTGACCTCCCCACTCCATCTCTTCATGAACACCCAACCCTCCAGCTCCCCACAGCAGTTTCCTCAGCTCGAAACTCCTCAGCTCACCACCCTCTGCCTTCTCACCTGCTCTCACATCAAACACCTTCCAAAAACCAACATCAAACACCTTCTAAAAACCAACTAAACCTCATCTCTCCTGCCATCAAACACCTTCCAAAAACCAACCAAAGCTCACCTTCCCTGCCATCAAACACTTCCAAAAACCAACATCAAACACCTTCCAAAAACCAACCAAACCTCCCCGCCCCTGCCATCACACACCTTCCCCAAACCAAGGCTGTCCCTCCCCATGTGGCTCTGCCCCACCTTGTCCTTGACCAACCCCTAAGTGCATGACCCAGACTCAGACCCCGTTCTGTGAGCACAACAGAGCAGAAAGTGTTACCAGACTTTTAAATGTCCTATTGGGGGCCCAGTTTCCTCCATCACCTCCAGTGAGAGGTGTTGAAGCCCAGCCAGCTCCCAGGGTGGTGTCACAATCACAGGGGACACTCCCTGTGCCAAAGCTTTTCCTGTATATTCCAAGTGCACCTTTAAACTTTAGTTTAGTAAAAGAGTTTCTTCTTTCTTCCTTTTTATATTTACTGGCTGAGAAAGGTTTACCCCAGCAGTGTTGATCCCTTTTATCACCCTCCAGAGGCTGCAGCAGGAGCTGCCAGCACCACTCTGCTCACACCTCACCTGCAAAGGCTCTTGGGTTCCTCAGCTTTGCCTTCTGCATGGCCCAGCCCTCCTTTAACAAGTCCAGCAGCCTGAATTTGGTTAAAATAACTGTTTATTTGTCAAAGCCCTGACTCCTGTCCAGAATAAACTGACTCCAAACTAAACTAATTCCCCCACTGAGGGCTGAATGTGCTGCCTGGGACAAGGGAGCCAAAGGAGTAACAAGAAGTCTCTGTGTGAATGGGAACAGACCTAATTTCAGCTTCCAGGGATTATGTCAGTGACCAAAACAGAGTTGTTTGGGTTCAGGATTCCCACCAGGCAGGGATCTGCACTCATGCAGCTGCTCTGTGCCTGAGGACAAGGCTTCTCCAGACAAACCATGTCAGGATCCAGGGGGATCCCACCCACCTGGCCAGACACCACTCCTGATCAGAGCATCGCTGTGGTGTTTGGGGCTGTGAAGGGAAAACCTCTGAGCTGTGCACACAGAGCAGCCCCAGCTCCCACCCACAGCCAGCTCCTCCCTCCCCTCCTGCTCTTGTTTTGGGCTCATCCCACCCCTGAAGCCTGGCAGGGCTGGAGCACAGTTCAGAGCTGCCAACCCTTCAGCTGGAGTGTTACAACAGCCCGAGACACGTTTCCAAAGCCTGCCCTGGGAGGAGAGGGACTCTGCACTGAGGAGAATCCATGGATCCACCCTCAGACCGACACATGGGAACCATCTCCTCATTCCTCCTGGTCTGCACAAACCGGACACTGGAACTGAGGCAAAGCCACTTTGTCACCTGCACTTCCACACAAGCCTGGACACATATGCACAGCTCCTGCACCTCCCCAATGGGTTTGTTACCAACAGCCTTTTCCAAATCCCTGCACCCTTCCAAACCCTCCCTGGCCCATGTCACAGAGGTGCTGGGGGTTATGACATTGTCCCTACCTCTCCAAATGGCTTCCTCACTTCATCTTCCTGCATTTTCATAGAACCATGGAATGGTTTGGGTGGGAAGGGACCTCAAATCCCACCCAGTGCTACATCTGTCATGGGCAGGGACACCTTCTACTGTCCTAGGCTGCTCCAAGCCCCATACAACGTGTTCTTAGGCACTGCCAGGGATCCAGGGGCAGCCCCAGCTGCTCTGGGCACCCTGTGCCGGGGCCTGCCCACCCTCCCAGGGAACAATTCCTTCCATTATCCCACCTAACCCTGCTCTGTCTAAAGCCATTCCCCTTTTCCCACCACTTCAGGGTGCTGTGTGTCCCTGTCCAGCTCTCCCACAGGCTCCCTCAGCAGCTGGATGCCTCCCTGTCCCCAGCCCTGCTCAGTGATTGTCCCCAGCCCTGCTCAGTGAGTGTCCCCAGCCCTGCTCAGTGAGTGTCCCCAGCCCTGGGCAGTGAGTGTCCCCAGCCCTGGGCAGTGGGTGTCCCCAGCCCTGGGCAGTGGGTGTCCCCAGCCCTGCTCAGTGAGTGTCTGTCCCCAGCCCTGGGCAGTGGGTGTCCCCAGCCCGGCCGTACCTGATGGGCAGGGAGGGGTCCCCGGCGTCCCACCAGTCCTTGGGGGGGCTGATGTACATGCACCACAGCTCCCAGCTGTAGCCGTGGGCCGAGTTCTCGTAGCGCTGCACCTCGAAGTTGTCCTGCTTGATGTTGTCAATGGAGGGCAGGATCACCCTCTTCCTGTTCTCCTGGATCCGGGACAGCACCGGCTCCGCCCTGGGGGAGGGGCAAAGCACAGAGAGAGCCTCGGTTCACTGCAGCTCCACTCAATTCCATCCCAGCATCCCATCCCTCTGGCAGTGGGGGCCATTCCCTGTGTCCTGTCCCTCCACCCTTGTCTCCAGTCCCTCTCCAGCTCTCCTGGGAGCTCCCTTTGGTTCTGAAATCCACTCAGAGCTTTCTCCTCTCCAGCTGAACAACTCCAACTCTCTCAGCTTGTCCTCACAGCACAAGTGCTCCAGCCCTTTGTGTTCCCCCTCTGGACCCACTGCAGGCCCATGTTCTCCTTGTGTTGGATACAAACCTGGTCCACAGGCTGGAAACCTTCCCTTCTGTAAAGGAAGGCCAGGAAGGGTGTGCTTGGTTCAAACCAAGTCCAGACTTCTCCCAGACCCCAAAACCCTGAGCAGAACAGGCACATTCTGGAAAGCAGGACTGTTTGAAGAGTCTTTTTTCCCTTGGGATGCAGTTTGATGACTCTGTAGCTAAAAAATTTGTCTCGGGGACGTGTTCAGAGCAGGGGGTGTGCTCAGCCTCACCTCTGCAGCTCCAGAGCCAGCGAGTGCCCCAGGGTCAGTGCCCACACCAGGGGGAGTTTGGGGGAACTGGCACTCCCAATGCCCCCAGTAACAGCAGCAGGTGGGAAACTCAGGGAGAGTCAAGCCCACACTGCAGAAATGTCCCCTCTCTACCCCTAGAGAAGAGCTTCAAGAGCTCAGTCAGTGGGAGCTCCTCAGTGAATTAGGTGTGAGGATTTAGTGACCAGAGAGAGGAATGTTCAACTGGGAATAAAGATCCCAACACCACAAACAGCAAATACCCCCTTCAGCTGCACTGTCATTAGAAAGGATTCCATAGCTGTGCACAACTCTGCCTTTAACAGCTGCAAATAGGGGTTTTTGTGGTTGTTACTGTGTTCAAATTCAACACAAGTTTAGCTTCTTCCACCTCCACTTTTCTAAACATGGACCATTTACTTTTTACACTTGGTTAAAGGAAAAAAAATCCCTTTCGGGCTCCTGTCATGACAAAGATTTAAAGTTAAGCCACTAGAGCTCTAATGTTCTAAACCTCTCTGAAAAAAATCCTTATGAGACACCTTCTGCTGCTTCTGCACCTCTGCTGTTACTCCCAGCAGCAGAGGAAACAAATCAACCCAAAGCCTCTGGGATCCAGCAATGGGCACAGAAATGGGAAACACTTTCTCCTTCATTCCCTTGCTGCCTGGGCTTTTTTCAACTTGCAGGAATTACTTAAGACTAAGGGAATGGGAAATCATCCTGAAAAACATAAACAGGGAGCAAGGAAAGTGCATGCACAAAGGGAAGGAATAGACAAGGATTACAAGGAACAAGGGCAAGGAAAAGTTCTCCTCGTACATTCCCAGCATGCCACTCAATGCAGATGGAATCCAGAAGGAATCCTGGAGGAGGATTAACAAGCCAGAGGACCTGTGTGTCATTCTGCAGGAACACAAAAGGAGGGCTGTTCCCCTGGGTAGTGCCCCCTCTGAGCAAGCCCCTGAGCACGTACCAGCCAGCAGTGAACTCCACGTGGGCATCAAAGAAGCCGGTGACCTGGCCCGTGGCAGCCTTCCAGCCCTCGATGCGGGCCCGGATCAGCCCTTCCCTCTTCTGGTTCCTCACCACCTTGACCAGCCCCGGGTAGCGTTTGTTGACGTACTCCTCCAGCGGCGCCTTCAGCTCCTCTGGGGACAAGGACACACAGCCCGTGGGACAGGGACACAGCTCCCAGCCGGAACAAACCCACCCTGGGGAGGGACTGCAGCAGGATCACTGGGGAGCCCCCTGCACCCCTGAGGGACACAATCACTGGGCTCTGTACGAGAGGGACCGAGCACAACCCACACAGGAGAGGTTCAAGGGGCCCAGAACGCTGCTGTTGGGCCACTGAGGAGCCCATGGGCCACCTCAGCCACTTACAGTCCTCTGCACTAAAAGGAATGGAACTGAAACACAAAGATAGAAAGACTTCACCCATGGACAGCAAACAACAGCACTCTGAACTCCTGGTGGAGGTTTGAGTTGAAAGCACTGCTAGAAATGCTGCAAAATCCACTCAAAGTGACTCAAACTACATCAAAACCATGTCTGAGCTTCACTGCCCTCTTCACTCAGCCTCACCACTACAGCCTTGGCACTTGCTGTTTGTTTTGCCACCAGAAAAGTTGAAATTCCCCTTGCTTTTGTGAGGGGATGAAAGGGATTCTGGCTTTGTTCAGGAGATCCTCCCACCATGTGTTCACTGTGTTCATTTCCCTGTGCTTTCCCAGGCCTGTGTGTGCAGTGCCCGAGTCCCTCAGGGACCTGCAGCCCTCAGCCACCCCCAGCACAGAAATCCTCCAGAGTACAAGATCTGAGCATGAAAGACCCAGAGGCCTTTGAAGGTGGAAGCAGATGGAAGGTTACAATAAAGGATAAACACCAGTGTGTTCTTCCAGCCCTTTGGAAAAGTGCCAGTTCTCTGCCAGAGGAGCCTCAGTCCTTTCAGTGCCTGTTGCACCAGCTCAGTGCACAAAGGTCTGCTGGAGAGAGGAGCTCTGAAAGCTCAGCAAAGCCACTGGGCACCAACACAAACTCTCAACACCATGAAAGCAGCTCCTCAGAGTATCTTTCATCCCCACGAGGCTTCAGGACTGCAGAAAATGAAGATATGATCTGTGACCTCAAATTATAGTCTACTACCCTTCACTGCACTCTCTTGCTCTCTCCTGGAATAAAAATAAAGAGGGTAAAAAAAAGAGTCACCATTAATCATCCACATGGTAAAATCCTCAAGACACACGAGCACATGTGGGGTCCCTCATGAAGGAAACACACAATGGAGAGCAAAGGAGTAAACAGCAAGTCTCATCTGCTTTGAAATCTTCAAAGGAAAAGGATTATCTGTTCCCTTCCCTGCCACGCCTCCTTCCAGGCACAGCAAATGTGCTTTCTCCACGCTGCCTTTCTGGGATGCTTCCCCTCACATCTCCATTTCCCCAAAGTCTCCTTTCTCTTTTATGCTGAAATGGGAATAAAAAGAATAAAGCAAATGAGCCCCTTCCTCAATTCAAAGCATCTGCATCACACACATCCATAACTCAGCAACTTCCATTTCATGCTGAGCCACTCAGAGCAAAACCAGGATTTTATGGAGACAACAACTCTCCCAAATGGTTTTAAGGAGATGAAGACACCAATTTTTTTGACAGATGAAGCCCCACAAGCACAGCACTTGGCATCTCACGTGGCTTTGGCAGCAGGTAAGTCATTAATGCAGCAGACCACTGCACCACAGAGTGATTAAAACAACTTTCACATTGGAGGTGGAGTCTCAGTGGAAGGAAAACATGAGAACTCCCCTGGGGAATTGTCTGAGCAGCTGAAAGCAGAGCAAAGCTCCAGTGAAACAGAGGACTTGTAATGTCACAGCTCACAGGCAGCGCAGGGTCAGCCCTGAGAGCCCCCAGTGCCCACCCCAGCGTGTGCCAGCAGCTCCTCAGAATGTCCCCAGGCAGCCACAGCCACTGCCCTGCTGTGTCCTGGGTGCCAGCAGGGGCAGAGCGACCTGGGGGGAGCACGGGGCCACAGCAGCACCTGTGCAGTGGCACCAGGCATGGGGGAGTGCCCGTGGCTGGCAGCACTCTGACCCTGCTCCCTGGCACAGGGCAGGGCCTGTCCTGCCCACAGCTGGGACACAGGTGTCCCCAGGGGCCTGTCCTGCCCACAGCTGGGACACAGGTGTCCCCAGGGCCCTGTCCTGCTCACAGCTGGGACACAGGTGTCCCCAGGGGCCCTGTCCTGCCCACAGTGTGGGACACAGGTGTCCCCAGGGGCCTGTCCCACCCACAGCTGGGACACAGGTGTCCCCAGGGGCCCTGTCCTGCTCACAGTGTGGGACACAGGTGTCCCCAGGGGCTCTGTCCTGCTCACAGTGTGGGACACAGGTGTCCCCAGGGCTCTGCTGCCCACCTGGAGCAGCACTCAGAGACACAAGCAGTGCCCAGCAGTGGGAAATGCAGTTCCAGGCCCTCTCTCTCCAAGGCTTTCCTGCACAGCCTCACAGCATCTCCAGGTTTGCTCCCTGCCTCTGCTCCGTCCAGGCTCAGCCCACAGCATGCAGCTTTTGAGGAGAACTGACATTTCCTCCCTGCCTGAGCAGCCCTAGTGGAGAGGATGGCTGCACCCAGCACTGAGCTGGGCCAGCCTCAGCCTTCTGAGCTGTGCTGCAGCTCTGGGAGGAGAGGGCACAGAGCACAGCATGTTCTGGTATCATCAGACACATCCCTGGCACTCAGAGGGGTGCACTCTCTATTTCATTTCCCAGAGCACCCAGAAGTGCAGGAGTGAAAAATCCAGTGCTGGGTAACAAAAGTGAAATGCCAGTCTCCAGGAATCCCAGAATGGTTTGGGACAAAGTTCATCTCATTCCACCCCCTGCCACGAGCAAGGACACCCTCCATAGCCCAGGGTGCTCCAAGCCCTGTCCAACCTGGCCTTGGACAATTCAATTCTCTGAGAAACTTCTGTTCAAGCATCCCATGAGCCCTGGCCTGGGTTAAGGAGCAGGGCTGATGTGGCTGTGTGGAGAAGCATCAGTGGAAACCCCAGTGTCTGCACAGCTCCTCTGCTCCTGGGGATGCTGATCCTGTGGGACCAGATGTGCTCAAACCTCTGGAAACCATCACTGACTCACAAATCTCATCCCAATCCAAGTCAGGTGACGTTATCCCTGATTTTGCCCTACGTTTCCGTCAGTCAGCAGTCACTGAGTGCCCTGCACTGTCGGAACACCCAGCTCCAGCCTCAGGACCTGCAGTGGTGCTGCTGACCTCAAAGCTGTTCACCTGTCCTGTCAGATCAGGAAATGTTTCCTGCCCAGCTGATGCACCTTCAGCAGGTCCAGCTACACCAGGAAGGTTGGGAGGCCTGGAACAGAACACCAGGGGTTTGTGACCTGCACTAAGGGACAGCAGCAGAGAGCAGCTGTCACACACAGGGCAGCCTGGCCCTTGGATCTGCTCCTCCCAGGACTGCACACAAACTACAGCAGGGACAAAGCACCTCCAGCTCAGGGACTCGCTGCCACTGCCACCCCTGCCTGGCACAGGGCCACAGTGCTGCTGTCACAGGGCTGACAGTGACAACATCCACGAGAGCCTGAGCCAGGATAACCAGCCTGGTGCTCTGAAACTGGGACTCTGGATGTAAAGAGGTCAGGAGCCAGGATGGGAACAGAGCAGTGACCCCCAGCTCCCCTCATGCTCCCTGATTTCAGGCCTCCACTCCTGAGGATTCCATAGGGATCCACAGGGGCTGCACAGCCAGGAATTCACTCCAATCCAACACTGTCCTGCAGCCTGAAGACTCCCTTCTCTCCTGCACCCCATGGCTCTCCCCCTCACACACTCAGGCATCCTCTGAGGAAGCCAAATGAAGCGTCCCTCAGAGCACAGCACCCCTGTTTATTCAGGACTGGAAGGTTTGATCTCTGCTGTTGCACAAGCTGCTTCCCAGCAAGATTTGCAGAGAGAAACGCTCCTGAAAATGCCAAAAGGTTCAATTTCATCCTGCCTTTTGTTCTCCATCTGTCCCTATTGATCTTCCCTGAAGGGCAAGTCCAAGGAACTTGAATCCAGTGGACCTGTTGCTCCATTAAAAAGCCCAGCTGCCAGCTGCAATGACTTATGATATCTATTACAAACTGTTTTGTCACCTACCCAAGATGGGAAATGGGGCTGCAGGGAAATGAAACCACTTGTGCCAAGGAAAGTAACCCCACCATGGACATCAGCCCACCTGCAAGCACAGAAACATCCACTGCTCCATCCTGATTAGGCTGAAAGATTTAGCAGGGGGTGTGTGTTCTATCCCCATCTGTCAGAGCTGGGCAGTTCTCTGCTGTTCATGGGGCAGTTTTCTTTATCTCTCCCACAGCCAATCCTCCCTCCAGGAGATCTCTGCTGTCCATGGCCACTGAGTGTCCCTGCAGGGCTGATCAAATTCCAGCATCCCATGGGGAGATGCTGTGCCCAGGGCAGGAGCCAAGCATTCCTACCTGGATCCAATCTGAGCCTGGAACAGCACAGCAGCCTTTGCCCACTGCATTGCCAGAGGAGCAGCTTTCTCCTGCCCTGCATTCCCAGAGGAAGAGCAGGCCCATCTCCAGCAGCCCTGGAGCTGCAGAGGAAAACTCCCCCCTTGTGCAGGATCCCTGCTCCAGCAGAAGCACAGCTGGCACTGCAGGAGGGCTGAGCCCCCATGGGATGGGACTGTGCCACCACCCTGCCCACAGGGGGTCAGGGCCTGTTCTGACTCTGGCAGTGGTTTGTTTGTTGGGTTTTTTTGTTTTGTTTGTACTATTGAATTTGTATTTTTAATTTTCCTAGTAAAAAACTGTTATTCCTATTCCCATATCTTTGCCTGAGAGCCCCTTAATTTGAAAATTATAATAATTCAGAGGGTGGGGGTTTACATTTTCCATTTCAAGGGAGGCTCCTGCCTTCCTTAGCAGACACCTGTCTGTTCAAACCAAGACACATCCCCACCCAAATCCTGCTCAAACCTCTCCACATGCTGTGCTAGCCCCCAGAACTAAAGGTGAGAACTGCCTGTAGCCACACAGAGAAAGGAGCAAAGCCTAGCAGCACCAGAGAAGCTCAAGGAATTACCAAGAGCAGGGAGTTCCTTGTGCAGCCCTGGCCAGGTGTCCTTGGGAGAGAACCACACCTCCACACCCCTAAGGAAAACATCCTTGTGTTTGCCAGGCTCAGCTGGGTGGGAAAAACCTACAGAGGCCAGGGTGTTATCAGAAACACTGGAGGGGTCAGGGCTGGGAGTGCTCCAGTGCCATGGGGGACCCCAGCCACCCCTGTCCCACATTGTCACCTGCCTGGAACTCCAGTGCCATCAGGGCTGGGATTTCTGCAAGAAATCATTAAAGCAGCTCCTTCAACAGCCAATAAATAAATGTGAACACTTTTCAGGGAGACTCAGAGACAGGGGAGTCTCTGAAGCTTTTTACCTGCAGCTGGACAAGAGGGAACTGTGACAGGGAGCAGGGGGATGAAGCAGTTCTCACAGGGAAAGCTGGTCCCAGTCAGGGCATGCAGCTCAAGCCTCCGCTCACTTGGTTCAGCAAAACCCAAAGAGAATCAAGAACACCCTGAGCTGGAAGGGACCCACAAGGACCATGGATCCCAGCTCCTGTCCTGCACAGACACCCAGCAAACCACCCTGTGCTGCTCTGCTGCTCTTCTCCCAGAGCCTTGGGGCTGAGCACCAGTGGGACAGCCCAGGTCAGCTCCAGTTAAACACCCCATGCTCAGGCTGCATCAGCTCCTTCTCTCAGCTCCAGTTAAAGAACACCCCATGCTCAGGCTGCATCAGCTCCTTCTCTCAGCTCCAGTTAAAGAACACCCCATCCTCAGGCTGCACTATTCAGCCCTGGGAAAGGCTGGGATGTGACTCAGCTCCCTGCAGCTCCCCTCGGAGCACAAACACCCAGACAGCTCCCGGGAGATCGAGGCACGGGCGCTGTTGCTGCTGCTGGAGTGAGCAGAACGAGGAGGGGATCCCTCGAGTCCCAGACCCAGGCAAATTACAACCCTGAGCGTGTCTCCCCCGGTGTAGCCAGCTCCTTTAAGCAGCCTTTTATCCAGAGGGCTTCCTGTATTCCGAGACGCTTGCTTTTCAAAGAGATGTTATCCCAGATTAAAAACGCTAAAAGACACAACAACAACAAAAAAAAAAAAAAAAAATGATTAAGCAACAGAGTCAGACAAAGTGTGCAGCTGTGAGATAACACAGCATCTCAGGGGCACGTGGCTGCATCCTCCCCCAGCCAGGGAACCTCGTTATCACTCCCAAACACAACCTGCACACTGCCTTTGGAATTACAGCCCTGCAACAAGCACAAACAAAAGCAGCCTCCAAAAGAGTCCTTATGGAGTGTAATGTGCAGCTCAAGGGAGAAGGGGGTTCAAACTACAACTCCCCAAGCTTGCTCCTTCAAGGAGGGATTTTTTTTTCCCCGTTACAATACATTGGCATCTTTTATCTATTTACAGCTCAGACATAAAGCATCAGAATGCCGGTGTTCATTAACTTTAATCTCCCACTGCACACTTTTGTGTTGTGCCGTGCTGTTGTACAACAAAGCTGAGAGCAGGGAGTGTCTAATGAGGCTTCAGAAGCTCTTTGTTCCAGCCTGAAAACCTCACACCAGCACCAGGCTTTGCTCCTGGCTGCCACAGCTCTACCTGGAGGGCACAGAGCCAGGTGGGCAGGGCAGGTAGCTCTTGCCTCTACCCCTGGGGCTAATCTTAAAACTTGATTTGGAAATCTCTGTTAATATTTGGTGCTTTGTTCTTCAGTTACCCAGATTTGCTGTGGTTCCTCTTCCCCCCTGGCAAACCCACACAAACCCCAGCCAGGGACTGTCCTGAGCCTTCAGCAACTTCCCCAAAGCTGCTTCTGGCGACCCAGGGACAGCGCAGCTCTGGGCTGGGCACTGCTCCCTGGAGAAAACCTTCTCTCAGGTTACACAGCTGAGCTCCAAAGGCTTTTTCTGGGCTACAGCCACGGAAATGGTCCCTCACTCCCACACAGCTGCTCCCACAGAGGCTGAAGAAATTCCTTCTTGTTCAATCACAGCCTCCAAAGTCACACCCACACAGCCCCATCCTCTGCTTGATCCTCCAGGATTCATCTCTAAATCTGAGAGCTCATGAGGAACTATTTTCCTGTAATTATTTTCCTGTAGAAGCCAAATCTATTTATTATGATGACTTTGTTTCTAATATCCAAAGCATCAAGTCTGCGATGCTGCTGTTGCTGCTCAGAATGATTGCCGACCATTAGTGGGAACTCTGTGACAATGTTATTGCCATTAATAATTCCTGGCTGTCACTGCAGCTCCTCCAGGATGCTGAGAGGGAGCACATGGTCCCAGAGATACGTTCTGGTTTGTATCATTTCTTTTACATGAGAAAAGTAGATTATTACACGCTTGGGAGGAGCTCTTCATAAACATCTGCCAAGTTACCTCATTATCTTCCTTCAAATCCCTTCTTTAAAATCTCATTTGTCATGAGGCCTGCAAAGCCTCAGCAGCAAACACTGGCATTATTAACTCACCCTCCCAGCTGATGGCACCACCTCAGTCATCCCCCTGCCCCTACTTTCCTGGTGCACCCAGTGTTTCTGAGGACAGAACTCCTCAGGGATGTCCAACCCTCAGCACTGCCCTGGGCCACCATGAGGGACCCTGGACACTCCTGATTCCAACCAAAGCACCCTCAGGGTGAGATGCAGCCCAGCTGTGCCAGGAGACTGGGATTTTCCCACCTTGTGCCCAGGATGTTTGAACTTGTCCATCAGTTGGGGTCATCTCCCTGCCTCTCCCTCCATGGTGCTGTACAACAATCCAACACAACCCTGGCCAGGCTGGATGGGGCTTGGAGCAGCCTGGGACAGTGGAAGGTGTCCCTGCCATGGCAGGGGTGGCACTGGGTGGACTTTAAGGTCCCTTCAACCCAAACTTTCTGGGATTCTGTGAAACCCCATAGCTGGAGGTGCTTGAACACAGTCCAGGCTTTGGGCACCCCTCTGCCTGCCCTGCCATCCCCCGCCCCAGCCCTGCCAAACCCCAGTGGTGTCCTGAGATCCCACAGTGGGTACAGGGATCCCACCCTGATCCTCACTGCAGCTGCAGCCCTGGCCTTGCAGACACTTTAGGAAGGATTTGGTTTTTGTTTTGCTGTCCTGTGCCTTTCCAGTGTTTCCAGAGCACCTGGTTCACCATCAGCCTCACAGTGGATGAGGAAGAGGCTGCTCAGAAACACATCCTTTGTGCACAGCAACGAGGGGAGGAGCTCAGTGATTATCACCAATGGCTTCTCTTTGAAAGAGTTCTTCTCTTTGCCCCATTAATAGGACAAAATCGGGAGAAGGAGCCTCTCATTCTGGTATTTGAAGTGCTGGGCACTGTGGGATACCCCAGCAGCACCTCACCTGCACTTCCCCTTCACCAGCTCTGAAATTCCACAGCTTCACCGTAGCATCATCCAAGCTCCTGCCCTGGAGCTGCTGTGACTCCCACCAGCTGAGGAGCTGCCCTCCTGATTCTTTTACTGGTAATTAGAACTCATCAGCTTTCTGTGGTGCTCGTGTGGTGTTTGAGTGTCGGTGTTTCCAGCCTGAACAGCTCACTGTGCACCAGCTCCTCCCCTCACAGACAGAGACAACCCCTCAGCTCCCTCTGGAAATGAGCTCTCCACACCCTGCACCCTGCCCTGCTCTTCCCTCCAATCACAGCATCCAGGGCACTCCTTGATTAATTTTTTTTAATAACATTAAAAGGATGAAGACACAGCACAACTGAAGAAGGCAGTAAACAAAGTCACTTAACTATTTGATGTCCTTCACAAGGATTTTAACTGCCCTGATTACGTTGTCTGAGTGGATACTGGGAGAAAAAAAAAGAAGATTCTTGGAAGAATTTGAGTCTGAAAATGCTTCCTGTACTGCCCTGATTACATTGTCTGAGTGGATAGTGGGAGAAAAAAAAGAAGATTCTTGGAAGAATTTGAGTCTGAAAATGCTTCCTGCAGTTCTGTGTTATCAAAAGCCAGAAGGAAAGGAACAACAACAGTGTCTGAGAGCAGGTTGAACCAAAGGACACTCGTGTGTAATGTGGGAAACCAAACATCGCTTCCAGGCTGTGGCAGGGCCTGACCTGGACAGCTGGGCTGGGATTATTTCCTCCTCTTCCTCTTTCGTGTTCCAAAACCAGAACTCAGGGAACAAGGGTCTCTGCAGAGCACCAGCCATCTATAAAGCCTGGGATGGTATTTTACAGTAAGGAAACCGAGGCACATGCAGAGGAAACATCTCAGTTGACACTCCTGGGAGGTGCCAGAGCAGAAATCCCTCTGGGCTCCAAGCTCTTGTCCTGACTGAAGTTATTATCAGAAACAAGGATACCCTGAAACCAGAGCTCCTGGATGCTACTGAAGGGAAAGGTCAGATGGCTCTCTGGTCTCCTTCACCTTCCAGCTCTCAGCTACATTTTCAAACAACAGCTCTCTCAGATTTAACTGTGGTTAGATCCTGTTCCTCACCAGACAAGCTGCAGAGAACTTTGTGCCAGCAGCACACCCACCCCCTTATCCCACATGCCCTTGCCCCAGGAACTCTCCAGGAGATTCCAGATTAAGGCCAGCCCCTCCTGGTGGAGCTGGAGCTGCCAGTGCTGCTCACCCTCGTCGCTGTTGTCGTCCACGAGGATGATCTCCTTGAGCAGGGGGGCAGGCGTGTGGTTGACAGCACTGTGCACCGAGCGCAGGATCACCGACAGCGCCTCGTTCACAAAGATGAAGATGATGGAGATCTGGGGCAGGTCCTTCCCGTATTTCAGCTCTTTGCACCTGCAAGATGAAGGGCAGAGTCAGCAGAGCTCACGGGGCAGCACTTCCAGCCAGGCTCATGGAAAATCCCAGGCTGTCACCTCCCAGCTGTGCACAGCCAGGGAACCCCTCTGCCTGCAAATCCAGCCTCGAATCACTGCTGCTGGGGAGAGAACACAGCACAGCAGAGCATCCCCGGGCTCAGAGAGCACATCCAGAGCTCACCCCACCTGTGTGTGTGCAGATAAGCAAGAGTGGCCTCCAGAACACAGCAAATGCCTCCAGCAGTTCAAGGGAAACTCCCAATCCCACTCTGCCCCAAGATTTACAGGTGCTCAGAAATGAGCCTTGTTCTTCAACAGCACTTGGGAATTTTCTTCCCCTTTGCTTTGGAAAGAAATGAACAAAAAATGAGCCTTGGTTAAATTGTCTCAATAAATGTTTTTGCTCTCTCAGCAGATACTCCTGAGCACACTCCTGTCTCTGAAGCAGTGTTGTGCTAGTGTCACTGCACTCCACAGCCAGGATGGTCAAACCCAAACCCTTGTGATCACCTCCCTTGTTTCAGGAATCATTCCTTAACTCGGGCAGGGTTTGGGGCAGGGCCTCTGCTCACACAGACTTCAAAGCAGGACAAAAGCAGGAGCTCCCAAGTTTCCACCAGCACCAACCCTAGCAAGCAGCAGGTCCACGTTCCATGGACACACCAGAGCTGGAGAGAGGGACATCCACGGAGCAGGGCTGGGGCAGCTCTGAGGGAAGGGGTGTTCCAGGTGACCCCCAGCTCTCCAGGGAGCACAGGGACACAGATGTTGTTTGCCCGTTGTTTCATGTCAACTAGACACCTCCTCTTAACAGAGCAACTGTGGAAAGCAACCAGGAGATCTTAAACCACTTCCAACAATTTAATTCAACTCTCCAGCTGCCCCTACAATAAATCCAGGTGGGTCAAGGACAGAAGGAGGCTCCCTGCCCCTGCCCACATCCCTCACAGATTAGACACAGAACACGAGCAGAATTCCCAGCATCACAATGAGTGTGCACGGAGCAACCCCTGCCCAGATAACAAGAGGAAGACCAAAGGCAGAGTGACATCCCAGCAGCTCCTCAATTCCCCAGCAATGCCTCTGCATTTAATTGTCCTGGGTGTTTCTTAGGCAACAGCAGGAGTTCTTTAGACTCCAGAATGAGACTTAGGAGTCAAAGATTTCCACAGAAACACAGTTTTCTTTATGAATCTTCTTTAGTTAAACAAGTTTGCTGGGTGACGACACGGTTGTGTTCCTTGATTTAATTATTGCCTACCCTACAGCAAGCCAAGAGCTCAACAGAAGGGAACCAAACACTGAAAAGGATATTCCAAAGGGAAAATCTTTCTTTAAAATGAATGAAAGAACGGTCATAATGGGGCAAAGTGACAAGTGACCCTAAAATCCTGCCAGGAAAGTCAAACTACACTGACTCAGACATTAAAAACAGCTTTTGGTTGATGTTGATACCTGCTCTGGTGAAGTCAAGGCTGTCACAGGAGCAGGAGCGTTTCCTTTTAATCATTGCTCACCTCTGGGCAGCCTTCCCCCAAGGAATGCTGCAGGGGATAAAGAGCTCAGCCTGTGATCAAAGAGCTCTGGAGGCAAATCCAAACCCAGCTCTTTGAGGCTCATCTCCTGCTCATTGGCATTCTCCCTGCACCACTCCTTCCAGGGTTCTCCCTTCCCAATGCCAGGACAGGCGGGCAAAGATCCAGGGAGAGGAGATGAGCCTGGGCGGGAGGAGTGGGAAAGGCCAGCCCACACTGCTGGGCACAGAGCTCCAGTTCTCCAGAGGCAGGAGAGGCTTTGCACCAACACCCTGCTCTGGTGGCTTTGGCTCCCACCACAGAGCTGGGAAGGCAGCAATTTTAAACCAAATTAACATCAAGTTTGTTGTGTTCCTCCCACGAGGTCCCTTCAGTGCTAGTGCCAAAAGCTGTGGGGTGAGTGATGCTCTGCCACAGCCTGCAGCTCCACGAGGCTTCTTCCAGTGCACAAACCAGCAAATATCCCTGCAAGTGTGCAGGGAAACACTGGAGCTGTCCTGGGAAGGGAGGGGAAAAGGGCAGAGCAACACTTGAGCTCAGACATCACTGGAAAGGCCAGGGAGAAGCTGCAGGGAACAGCAGGAATGGTGAGGGCACAGGGTGGGAAGTGCTGGGCTTTGGGTTGCTGGGTGGTTTGGGTTTTTTCACAGGAAAAGGCCTGATCGGGATGCTTTGTCCTTCAGCCCATGTGCAGGCAGAGGCTCAGGTGTGACTGCTTCACTGGGGAACACTCAGACCCTGCAGGGAGGACTCACTGTGGGTCAGCAGTCCTGGGACAGCTGAGGGTGCCCACACACCTCCCTCCTCACCTGCACTCTCTGCAGCCCCAGGAACAGCCCCCTGCCCACCTGAGAGGCTGCCTTCTCTGCAGGGGTGGGGAGGCACAAGGTGGGAAATCCCTGCTGCCTTCAGAATTTCAATGACAACCCTGAGGAGGAGCACAGAGAATCCAGCATTGACCCCAGGTCTCAGCAGGAGCACCAGGGGCTCAGGCAAAGTCCCAAGCAATGCACCAAACCTCAACTGAGACTCCTGGCACCCTCTGCCCACAGTTACCCCCTCAGCCCTTGGCTGTGTGCCAGCCAAGGCCTTTGGAATTCACATCCCAGGCCAAAATACTTCAAAATTCAGCGAGACCTTAGAGCCCCTTCCAGTGTCTATAGGGGGCCTACAGGAAGGCTGGAGAGGGAATTTTTGCAAGGACAAGCAGTGATAGGATAAGGGGGAATTAAGATTAATTAATTTCTTTTAACTTAAAAGAGAGTCATATTGGGAAGGAATCCTTCCCTGTGAGGTTGGTGAGGCCCTGGCTTGGGGTGCCCAGAGCAGCTGTGGCTGCCCCTGGATCCCTGGCAGTGCCCAAGGCCAGGCTGGACAGGGCTTGGAGCAGCCTGGGACAAGATGGGCTTAAGGTCCCTACAACCCAAAGCACTTGGGATTCTATGAATCTCAAGTTTTATTTCTAACACCCAGCTCACGCTGTATCTGGCAAGCCCAAAGCAAGTCTTGCTCCAGGAAGCTGAATGTTCAGGGGAACACTCCCTACACTTGAAAACCTCTACATTTAAATTAAATGCAAGGGTCAGACCACCACAACACATTCCAGTGTCAGTGATTAGCTACCCAGCCAAAGCCCAGCCCATCATTTGATGTGGAATTTAGGCCTCATTCTTCATTCCATCACTCCCAAAGGCTGTCTCAGAAAGTTCTCCCTGCCCCTGGAGCAGGTGCTCCCCAGCCACGTGCACAAGTGCAGGTGGCCCCAGGGCAGAGGTCCTGCCACATCTGCAGGATGGCAAAGATGGTGGGCCAATAAAGAAAGTCCAAGCCCCAAGTCCAGCCAAAACCCCTCAAGGGATAATCGCACTGTTAGGGTGAGGAAAAAGGCCTCTCCCAGCATGCCTTGCTGTGACATGCAGATTCCCTGTACCCTATTGGCCCTTCTCCCTGGCTCCACCCCTGTGCCCTCATCCCATTGGCCCTGGTGCTCTGTCCCACCCCTCAAGACCCCCATATAATCTCTGCTTTCAGCACTGAGTGGGTCTTTGTTGCTGAGCTCTTTTGTAGAAGAAGTAGAATAAAGCTGTCCTTGGAACCCCACGCAGACCCCATCTCTCCTCCTGCATCACCCACATCCCAGAGGAGCTGAAATCACCTGGGGTGAGCCCAGACCTGTGCCCCTGAAGTGGCTTCTTCACAGTGCTTCTTCAGGAAGGTCACAGCAGCCTGAACAACACCCACCAGGACACAGAGGCACTGGGCCAGCTTGCAATGAATCCTGACAGGGGAAAACTGGGGGAGGCTGCAGGTGATCCCTCCCCATCCCTGCTTTGCTAGGTGAGAAAAACCCCCCTGCAGCACAGAGCACTGCCAACATCTGCAAATGAATCAGTGCAGGTTACACAATTACGTTTTGTCTCACTAAATCCTGCTCTCTCCAATTAAACCTAGGCTGGCACCTGCTTGTAGGATTTATATCAAAATGTAGTGGAAAGAAAGCCACCTCACAGTTCTGTCTCTCCTTTAGATCAATGAGGTATCAAAAAGGCATTTTATGTCCCATTAAATCATGCTTGAATATGTTTCATTAAATCATGCTCACAAAACTCTCCAAGTCTGAGGAGGCTGGGGAAAAACTCCCCATGTTCAGCACTGGGTTTAATTTAAGGACCTTGCTGAGATCTCATTGAGAAATGTTCTTGGCCTCCAACAGGGGGGAAAAAAGGGGTTTGCTCTGTGTTGGTCCACGGCTCAGGCATGAAGGGAGAGGTGTAGGTGGAGATCAGGGAAAGGTTCTTCCCCCAGAGGGTGCTGGCACTGCCCAGGCTGCCCAGGGAATGGGCACGGCCCCGAGGCTGCCAGAGCTCCAGGGATGGCCAGGCTGGGATTGTTGGGGTGTCTGTGCAGGGTCAGGGGCTGGACTGGATGGTCCCTGGGGGTCCCTTCCAGCTCAGGACATTCCAGGACATCTCTTCTCACTTCAGAACAGACTGAGAGCTGATGACTGACAGCAGTCCCTGCATAAAACAACTCCCAACATCCTCCCCAGCCCCTCCTGCAGGGACACAGGATCTGGATGAGGGCAGAGTGACACAGCTCCTGCACTGTGACCACCACTGCCTTTACTGGCTCCCAGAGCTTTATTCTACATAAAGCTGAAGTCTGCAAACATGAGAACCTGCAAGGAAACCCACAAAACAAATGTATTTACAGAGAACATCTTTTCACCTGGTTTATGTAAGAAACCATCCCAAAACAAAGGAAGGCTGAGAAGGTGAGCTGGGGAAAGAGGAAGCAGGGCTGAGTTTCTGCTGAACAGCTTGGCACACGTCAGGCTGGATTAATCAAGTCGGCCAAATTCAAAAGACAAAAAGCATAAACCCCAGCTCTGCTCCAACGCGTGTTTGCCTGCTGCAGAGCCTGCTTTGAGTCCTCTGATCGT